TTCTACATTATAACTCAATTATGTTTTGTACTTGCTTCTGGTTACTCGAATTGCATTTCATGAACGCAGAATAATTTGCGAACGCATAAATCATCGATTTCAAACTTTTTGCATTTCGTAAATATTGATAGTGACCAATCTGTTTGTATTTCAAAAAATTGTAACATGTTCCAATTAAATTAAATTAAAAAGAGAATAGTAAATAACTTAGTGTGTATTGCAGTTCATGTCATAAATGCGAGAATGCTGTATGTAAATGATATGCAAATTAATATGCAAATTTATGCTAATTAGGCCGCCCACCAGCTAATTTGGATTGTGGAGAACACTGTGGCTTTTGTCCAAGTATTTTGTACAGGTGTCTGTCAAAAATTAATGATTCACTGAGACAAATATGAACTGCCTCATTGTGTGAATACTGTATTATATGAAAAGTAAAAAACAAACACCCTTTATAAATAGCTATCATGTTGCAAAATCTGCTTTGTATGCAAATCAACTTAAATAGTTAGTTGGTGTCCAGTGGAGGGAGAAGTCAACAGTACTGTTGTCTCCTGAGAATCTACATCTTCAAACACTGCAATCTTTGAAGTGCGTTTTTAAAACCAGTATTATAAAAACTCTATCATTCTGTTCTAATAGCTGAAACATATTCCTGTGAGTTTTCATTTGTCGAATGAACTGTTTGTCAAATACAGAATACATATATTTTAGAATAATTTTCTTTTTAAAATGTGGATGAAATGTTTTGCTTTTAATGTATTTTGTATGTATTGTTTTTGATTTGATAACTTTGAACTAAACAGATTTTCTATTAGCTTCAGATCTTGATCAAAGTTAGGCACCCAGTTCATAGGAGTGCTTATATTGATTTTCTGACATCTTGTTTTCTGTAAAGATTTTATTGGTAGGTTTCTAGGATTCTGAGATACATTACCAAGGATATTATTACAAGATAAATCATTTGCTTCAATAAACACATACAACAATGCATATTTCCACTGAGATCAGTGACCTTTGATGTGTATCACCAGTGATCAGTCAAGTAGAAACAGTCAAAATATTTTATCAGATTTTCTCAATTTTTGCATATTTTCATACAGGACATCTGTTGTTCAAACTCAGGGAAGACTTTATACTGATGAATAAGGTGACCAAGTTTGATAAAGTTTGGAATTGAATTAGTAAAGTTATTATGCACACAATAACAATTAACAACGACGATGACGACAACAACGCCGGACAAAATTTTTCCCTTAATAAACCTTTCCCTTCAATCTTTGATGGTACGGGCAAGGTAAAAACCCATCAACAAACATATCTCTCTGGTTGGTATGGCTGGGTACAATCTGGTATCAATCTGGGTAAGCAGCTTATCATTCACTCACATGTTCCGATTTAATGACATTGCTTTGGCAACTTTTTTTCATGTGCAGATTAGTAATCACCAGATTTTGTTCATGCATATATAAATAAGGGGTTGTTATGAGGATACCGCAAAGTATGCACGAAGACAGTACAGCAGGACTATCGACAGGCGCACGGCATACGGTGACATACAGATTTGAATAGTCAAATTTGTGAATGAGTTAGCCTAGCTAGGTTTGATGATGATCAGAGCAGGAAAGAAAATCTGGATGTACATGACGTACTAGATATACGTATGTGTAATCACAGGCTACTTGTTGCAATCCCTCATCGACTAGCTGCTTAGCTCAACAGCTTGGCCTAATAGAAGAAACATGGTTTGAGTCACAGGTCAAAAAATAGTTTCTTTTGAAAGGCAAGTTGCACTCTCATGCATGTTCAACACAAGAAGAATAACTTGTCTTAAACTGCCTGTTTAACCAGAAAAAGCGACCAGTTTGCAAACAAAGAAACTATGCCAGTTATGAGTAAACCCAAACAGTTGCCAATGAAGAAACCACTTGATTGTGGAAAAAAGTGTCAGAACAGAGTTAGGTCAAAGAGTGGTATAACTATATTAATAGAGAAAATATGGTACTTTGTCCACAGTTCTCTTTATAGTTATTTTAACAAGGGCACCAGGAAGATCTCTCTATGCAAAAGGTGTATTGTAACTACTGTTAGCAAATAAGAGACAGCATACAATCCTGAAATGCATATTGCAAATAAACAACACCATTACCGTTAGTATGTTCCAGAAAACTGCAAAAAACTTGCAAATTTGCGCTTTATTGTTTCAATAGACAATGATTCTGCTGGAGGTAAATCACCATTTTTTTAAATCCTTTTTTATAAACTATTTGTAATTTGTAGATTGAAACAAAGAAGTGTCCCGTCATGGTGACACACAATTTACTCTGCCTTCGGGTAAAGTTCTGAATCAAAAGAAAGAAACAAGTGCAAAGATACTCTTCAAGCACAAATCCTCTTGAAAACGAAGAAAAAAAAAATGTTCCCCCAAATATTCCCATATTATTCCTGACACTTCAGAGCAACCCTATATAGCTTTTAGACTAAGACTTTTCTTAGTTTACACTTCTTTCACATGTTCAGTGAACAGAGAGTAAGTTATTGCATACAGCACGTTTTCATCTCGTGTAATAATAAATCACATGTAGAAAAAGAAGCGATAAATGTGCTCTGTCAGAGAATCGTCATGGTTCCTCCTCTTCCTCATCTGAGGTATCAGAACAACTCGATGCTGAATCGTTCAGGTCAATGTTGGTAATGTTATGTACTGGACTCCACATGTGATTAAAACCATTTCTCAGTTTACTCTGAAAGAACAAAGCGGTGAAAAGAAATGAATATTTCTGTGGCATTATTCAATATAAGGATACCACTGCAAAACATAATGAACATTTGAGAGGAGTGGGAGTGAGGTGTAAACTCACTAACCAACACAAGTAGTCCACCAGAGACAAAAATCTGACTTGCACTACCGTAATTCTATAGCAAGCCCAGATAACAAGATTTTGCTTCATGTCATCATGGATGTCTGACTTTTTTTTTTTTTTTTTTTGCATACTGGTAAAGTGCACTACATAAGGTAAGATGGGAGAATGTATGTTTTCTGTTCCAGAAGATGTTTTGTCAATCCAATCCAATTAATGCATATTAGCCCAAGTGGGGGCTAACAGCAAGTAACTTGTATGGAAGATTGGAGAAGTGAATAAAATATTAGGGTGCCTTGAACAATGAATGTGTGGTTCAAAGTTTCCTCTCCTTAGCTTATGCACACACCATCCTACATAACAGACTGATTACTCACCGGCTTAGAGTTCAGTTTGGCAGTTTTAGCCTGAAATTCTTTTAGTTCATCTTCAGTCAAAGGTTTCTCATCTATATCTTCTTGCCATCCCATCTCTCGTAATAATCTGAATAAAAAAAAAAGATCAGTGCAAAATTACATTGGACAAAGCTTTTAAAAAAAACTAACACAAAAGAGCACCATTATTGAAGCTGATTATGGAAAAATCAATGTACACAATACACAGTTCCAGAATTACAGAAATGTCAATTTTGATGAATCTTATCCATGAAATGGCAGTCATTTGGCCATTTTGATTCTGATCAAAAAACAAGCATATGTGCAAGATGTATGACATATGTGTTAAGTATGAACATGATCGATCAGAACACTTCAAAGATATTGGTTCTGAACGGTCTTCATTAGCAAGTCAACCGTTTTTAATCAAATCTCAGAATCAAAAAGACTTGCATCAAGCAAGGTCTCATAATGTTCAATGCATGTACTAAGTTCAAGTGAAATCTGTGCATGACTGAGATCCAGAATGGCAGAAATGCTCATTCTTGATGCAGTTAATTAAACATTCATCAACACCTTTTCACAAGTTTGAAATGGCGCAAGATGCAAATGTGATGAGAGTACAAAACGGGGACTTGTTTAGTGAAATACACACACTTACCGTCTTTCCGCTTCTAAAGAGCTTGATAATTCAGCTCGCATTGGTGAGGAACCAGGACTGATTGTCATACCCTCTAAGCAAATAACATCCAATTTATCTACATTTATATTATCTTCCTCATGCACACTATTCACATCACCGATCTTAATATCAGAATCAAACTAAAGAAGAGTAAGAAATAAGACATTATCACAACAAAGTTACATCAAAGTGAAAATAACAAGCCTACTTTGATGTTGGAAGAATAATAACGTTATCATCACAAGAACAAAGGCAGTACAGTGATCGTATCGACCGACTCATAGCGGAACTGCTCTCAAATTAGTGAACATTACTATCAACAATATTAACATATGAAATGTGCCTACCACATTGCCTTCATCACTATCATCACCATTTACTTGACGAGAGTCTCCCTCAATGAACCAGTCTTTTGTTTCATCATCTCTATTATTATTATTACCACCTTTTCTTAATTCTTTCAAGAAGTCACTCTTCTTGTCCATTTTTTTAGTCTGTGCTGACACAAGGCGTGGATTTAGTATTTCCATAGGGGGTGTAGAGGCAGGTCTTTGTGGTATCTGCTGTTAATGGACAACAAACAACCATGCAATGTTAATTTACAAATAACTGTTTTATAAGATCTGCAAGGTAGGTAAAGTATAGTGTATTGAAGCACCCAGCCATTGCACTGTGTATATTCCAAATGATGAAATTTTCCACAAAAAAATGTGTTATGATGACCTAAAGTTGGCAAAAAAAAACAACACATTTTTGTCAGCCACTACAACCCCGTTTACAGTTCTTAGATGCTGCTTCAATTTTACTTGTATTAAACTCCCTTCAAGACCCTCCCGAAACTATGCTTGCTGCCATTTTGTCTTCAAAAGAAAAACCACAATGTAATGTGGGCAAATTTATGATTGTTCAACAAATGTCTAGGCATACACAGTACAACTGTTTAAATTGCGTGATTATTCCTTAAGTGCCTAAAAAAAACAAGCAATTAAGAATAAGATCCGCACAAAAAATAGTGAACACCATTTCCTAACTTGTATTGTTTCTTATAACATAGAGGGCAGATTTTTGATAAAAATCGTATTTATCTATATGTTACAAACGACTGAGGCTTAACTAGAGAAAAATTTGAATGATACAGGTGTTTAGCTTTCCACATTACGGACTTACCTCTTTTGTGAAGGATTGTGTTGTGGCAGGAGGGAAGGTTGATGATGGTTTGATCTGGATAGGTGTGGTTACTGCTGGTTTATGATTCAATTCTTTAACTATAGACGGTGATACCTTGCGTGGAGCACTCTGTAAATAATATCAGTGCAGTCAGAGAGAATACCATAATTAAACTGCTATGAATTTTAGCGGAATTTAGCAGGTTTTCAATAAATTTAAAATTTCAACTTAACAAACCTGGATGCAGTTTTGGTCAAAAGTTTCATGTATTTCTATTGCTATTCATGATGAAAACACACAAAAATTTTACAAAAGGGTACACAAGCAGACAATGGCAATAAATGCCCTAATCATCACTTGTTGACCAGATCACTGCAATTTGGAGTGAGTCAACTTACCTTGGTAATGCCCTTTGAAGGCACCAATGATTTGTAGATGCTACTAGCAGAGTTACATGTGGCTGTTTTGTTGGCTTGATTTACTATTCCAGCATGTGGATTCAATTTGGCATGGGTGGCGCTGTCACCAGAACCGCTATTATTACTACTGGTAGTATTTGTGTTGGCGTCATTATTCTCATTTCGTAGTGGTTTCTGTATCAGCTGCATTCGGCGACCACCAGCTCCGTGTATCTTGGAATTCATTGGTTTGTCTGATGAAGGAAATAAACAAAGTTACAGCTTTTTTTTATTTGGAAAGATTGACATTTTAAAAGAAATATTTGAATTATATTTTACAGTACAGACTGTTTCCACTGTTCAGCACAGTCGTTAAGTTCCATTAACAAGTTACTTTATAATGTGCTAGTCAATGTAAACCACCTGGGCCACTTTCCCCTCAGACATACAAGAGTCAATTAATATAGGAATTTGGAAGTTTAGAGCAGCTTGAGATAATTCAAGCTATCACAACGATCAACAAGATCAGGATCATGGAGCTGTGACAAGCCACTTCTTGTTTGCCTAAGGTAATGGGGTCACTGGAGTTACTATTGACTAGTGCACAATGTTTGGAAAATTCCTAAATTTGATGGATATTAAAATAATTATGAGTCTCAGTACACAATTAACTTAAAGTGAATCTTCAATAGAAATGTGTGTAAATGTATGGTTAAAATATCATTCACTTGACCTTAGACGCCTGTCATTTTTGCAAGCACAACAAATAGAACAAATAAGCTAATTTCTTACCCCAAACTCCAGCCAGTTTACTACTTTGATTGTCTTTGCCACCAATACCATCCCCACTCAAAGAGGGCTAGTCAAATAAAGATTGATGGAGTTAAAACATTAAACCACACTTAAATGATACATACAAGTACATGTAATTATTTTTAAATCAAACTATTCTCATATTTTATGTACAAAAGAGTCGTGTTTTTATAATATGATAATATAAACAATACAGAACAAATGCAAAGATATTTCACAAATGGCCACCTGGAAAACATGTTTGTTGATGAGCCATATCAAATGATTTATAGACCACACTAGGAAAGACAAAAGTCTCAATTAACAACTATTCATATTCACCATGTGCAATGAATGATTCCCACGTCATAGTATACATTGTATGTTTTCTACAAAAAGGTGAAAAGTGACTCAAATGAATCAGATTTGCCACATTTAGGGAAATGACACCAAGATTTCATGAAGCAATAACAAATACTTACAAACTCTTGCTCAAATTGTTCTCCAGTATCCACACTATTATTATTATTGGAAGCCTCATTTTCTTTCTCAGTTTCTTTGCCATTTCCACTCACCACTTCTTCCTCCACACTGTCTTGATGACCGCGTTCATGGTAACCATTACGGGATCCAGAATTGTATCTCTGTCTGCCACCACTACTACCTCGATTGCCATGATAATTGGTACTAGGAACAGGGACTGGATAAGACCCATTTCCACAGTAGCGGGCATTAGGATGTTGATATATGGTATCTCTGGTGTAGCCACCACGCCATATCTGAGCACCGGGAGGATAGACAGGATCACCACCACTTTGGTAGTAGTTGTGATGGTAACGATCATCGTCCAGAGAATGATGGCGAATAAATCCTTCCGGAGGGTAGTGGCGCTTGTCTACAATGTAACACAATCACAATATAAGTAAAGAGGGATCAGAAAAGGAAGAGCCTGCATGGAGAGACACATGGACACACAGAGGTCAGTTCACATGTCCTCGTTTTCAGACTGGAGACTACAAGTAAATGTGCGAATGGGGACTAAATTTTACCGCAAAAAATATCTTTAGGACATTTTATGAAATAAATTAGAGAGAAAATTCTTGGTCTGACTGTTTCAGCATTTAAGTATGATCACATGCACACACACACACTTACCGTCTCTGCCTCTATAGCCATAACCTAAATGATGAGCTGGTGGTGGGATAACAGCGCCATCAAATTCTAGATGGCTTTCAGACGAATAATGGCGTTGGTTACCAAGACGATGGCCAACATGCGGATCATAACTTCGTGAATTCCGATCATGTCGACCGTGAAGGTGGTGATGATGGTGGTGGTGAGCTTTGTTGGGCTTCTGCAAAAACACAAAACACGAGTTAATTACTATTTAACAATTAGAAATAGGCTTTTCCAATAACAGAATTTCATCATCATCTTTTCCAAGTTTGAGGATAGAAACTGAGGCGTGACGTAACCAATACTCCATATCATGCACTATATTTAACTTTTTACAAAACGATAATAGGTTTAAATTTGGAACTGTTGCAGCCATTTTAATTATGAGCATTAGCAAACTTCTTACTGAGTGAATTGTTATGCAAATTAGCTATTATCTTCACTTGTGTTTTTCAGTTTACCATGGAAGTTGAAATCTAAATAGCTCGCACAATTCTTGTTTATTTTGAGTGAAACTTTCACAAAACATTTATCAGTTGTTTATTAACAAATGGGCGTCCAGGCGTATATGTAATATGTTTTGTTTTCATATTACAAAGTTGTCAAGCAGGATGTGTGCCGTATAGTCAATCCTGGTCAGTATTTCACACTTCGAATGTCATTGTCTGAGAATGCAAAGCTTTAAAAATAAGCCTAGACGTCCTTTTGTTCGTAGAGACGTTGTCAAAATAGTGTGAAAATGTCAAGACAAACTGACAAAAACTGTGGGAGTTAATTAATTTTCAATCTCTCTGACCAACCAGAAAACACGAAAGGAGATAATGGCAGTTTTATGAAAGTGACGTTAATCGTCCACAAAAACGGCTATTGCATCACGACGACATGCCAAAATACATGATACACCGACGCTTGCTCTTGCTGATGTTTAATCGTCAGATAAAAAAATAAAATAAAAACATTTACAATACTAGGGAAACAGACGTAAAATCGTCAGCGGAGTCGAAACCTTGCGTGAAAACTGTCATGGCATCGTGTTATCTTTTTCACTGAGGGAGGGGCACAATGGATTACGTAAAGCCGATGAGATATTCATACAGTTATATAAACATAGCGATCCCCATTGGGTGGGTTGAGTCTAAATTTACCTTTCCTCAAACCTTTAAAAAATACTCTGTATGACGCAGCTTTTCACGATCACCGGTGAAATGGACCGTGCGAAGTTAGACGGCCAGGTTGAAATGGGCTGTAATATTTTGCTACACAACGGCTATTCACAGATTTTGTACTCAATCGCTCAAACGTCGGTGAGAAAAAGTCGAAATGGAAGACAACTATTGGAAATCTAAACAGGTTTCATTCAACTACGAGCAGACGAGACAGGTCGATAAAAATTAAAACTAACCCTGACCTCTGGAATTACCTCATTCATAGAGTGCCATAGTACCAGAGGTCGCCGAGCACAGCCGTACAACGTACTTTGCAACATCACTACAGATGCATGCTAGCTGACAAGGGGGTTTTCGATTAAGGTAACCAAGATGGCATCGGAGAGTGCGCGATTTTTCCGTGGTGTTTAAAAACAGCATCTGGTAGCCGATATTTCTGTAATTTTCAGGGTATTTTTTATTCTTAATTAACCGAGCATTTTACGTTTGTGTATTTTGCCACTGAAAAGTTAGTTATTGACTACTACATCGCAATGCTATCAGCACAGTGATCGTTACAGCGAAACGACAAATGTATAATTAGTCAGTTTTATAATGCCTTCGAAGAAAATAAATATTTAACAGTACTCCACTGGAAGCTGCCAGGCTAGAAGTTGTCGACATGTTGCAAGATAAGGGTGAAAAAGTTTACTTATCATTTACAACTGTATATTTTTTGTATTCTGCTTGCATTCTGGAAGCGTCTAGATCTTGTCTTTTTTGTAGTTTGCAAGACTAGTTGATGGTTGATTACTTGAGGTAAGTTAAACAGGGTCGCGGACAGGAAGTTACACATCGCCGCACCGTAACTGAGGCCAGTAACTCATTTGCATATAACATCAATAGTGACTTGCCAATCAAAGAGCAACGTAAACAGATTTTCGAGACTTTTAATCACATACACGTGTCTTGATTCCCTATATTTTAAAATCCATTTTTGGGCATGTTCCAGCATTGACAATGTTCCGAAATTTCAACACTATCTAGGCAAAGACTGTCTGGGTAAGAAAAGCAAAAAAAAAAAAAAATTCACTCCGAGTGCCCACGAACATGCAACTATACCTTAATTCAAATACATGAAGAGTGCACAGTTGGACACTAGATAACCAGGCTTTTGCACAATTTTCTCATCACCCAATATTGCATTCTTATTATATGCTTGCAGTGCTATAATAAGCAGCCCCAACTATTCAATGTTTCATGCTATATTGTACAACTTCATTGAGTGACCCTAGCGCAGTAAATATGATGTACCGTACTTACTGTGTGACCACAACATGAACAATAACTTTGGTGCTTCAATGAGTATCGATTCAACGTGCAGTGGTGTAATGCATGCCCCAAATGTGACCAATATGCAGTGTTAATGTGCAACCCTTATGCCATTGATGTGTGACGCTAGAACAGTTAATGCCCGTGCTGTGCCTAGTACTTAATATGCAATCCTAATGCAATTAATGCATGGTGTGTCAATGCGTGAACAGAGTGCCGTCAAAACTCCGTGCTTACTGCATTACCTTAATGCGATTAATGCATGGCACTTTAATGCTTGACCCCCAACACGATCAACACACTAAAATCCATGCCAGTCATAAGTTGCCTAATCTTCCCAGAGTTCTCCCAAGGGTAATATAGAGCAGGGGTCCCCAACTGTTAAATTTTGCATAAACAATAGAGCCAATTTAGCATAACAATGAATACAATACAAGTCATCAACATATTATATTGTCATGCAAATTGTCAGATACTGTATGCAATTTTCCTGGGGAAAACACTGCTTCCTTACAGACATGTTGAAAGACTGTTGATGTTCAAAGAGAATGTCCCAATTTGTTTAAAGAAAGCCAACATAATCTTACCTGCTCTGTTGAAAAGTTGAGCCATGCAGGTGCAAAATCATGCTGAGGAGGGTTAGCCATCACGTCTACAGGCATAGCATACCTCTCCTGTAATAAAACAATATCACATAATTTACAATGTAGCAATGACAAATATGAGGAATGTCTTTAATTTCGTAATCACAGAATTGACAGTTTATTTCCAAGACAGTGATGATGTAAGTTGGTCGCCTATTAGACTGAATGCTTAAATGCAAGGTATCAAGTCGTGACACATTTGTTAGTTCCTTGTTTTGTTTTTTATGTGCAAAATGTATTAAGCTCAGAGAGTTCTTTAAAACAGTCTGTTGAAATCTTGGGCCATAGTGAAATTCCAAACAATCAAGTTTAGTCACTTTGGTGACTGATGGAGAGAGGTATTGAAGAGAAAAAAAATTGTATGTGGCTGTTTGGAAGGACACCCAATTTCCATTTGTTCATGTAAATTTCATAATACAAACTAATAAACTTTAGTACCATGTTTTTGAAGATCACTATATCATTGTATGATTTTCTGTTGCTTCATTTGAGTGCCAAAAAATGAAATAATGAAAAGTCTCTGCAGCAGTGATGCGTCATGTCCATAATTCTAGGGTTCTTCACTACAGTTTTCAAGCAAAGTATTCTATTTTTTTTCTCTCTTTTTTCACAATTTGCCAATTTTAGGACATTTGTGAATGCAAAAAAAATTCGCAAAAGTCATTAAATGTAGTGTTTACAGGACCCCCCAGAAAAATTTCCACAACTCTTGAAAATTCATAAAAATTAGGCTCTTGCAAAAGTGATTTACAATATCAATCATACGAAAATATGACGTAAATGGAGGTTTAAAACATATTAGTAATTCATCTTTTCTAAAATAACATGCATATAATAATAAACATGGTGCAGCACAAATCCAATATTTTTGGCAGTAAACTTCTACATGTATGTGAAGAATTTAAAAGAATTTCATTGATCAAAACAAACTTGTTTGATTACTGATAGGAAAGGAAATTACACAACAAGTACTAAATTGTTGGTCAGTAGTCATGAAATGTTGTATGAACATAAATAACAGGCATAGTATTAATATATTTTTTTTGGTGAGAAAATATGTAAACACAAACGTTCCATGGATGATAGTTAATGTATTTTGTAAAGACAGTTATGAAGTTATACAGCCGAGGCCTCAAAAAAAAAACAAGAAAAAAGACTTAAACTTCAAATTCTGATGATATATGAACTGAAATACTCACCTTTTTTGTGTATACTACAAGACGACAGAGTGAGGAGAATTCAAGGGGAGTAAAACCACAGGCTTTCTCCCGACAACACAGTTCACCATTGAACAATAACTCCTCTTTATCGCGGTGATTCTTACAAGTTCAAGTCTTTATCATACCTCTTTAGCACAATCGCAATTACACAAGTTCGTTTATTAGTTAGATTAACATATGTTCAGTGTTCTGTCAATGACAACACAATGATAACGTACTCCAATGTATCCTGTATTAGGCCTTCAGCATCTAGAAATCTTTCCAGGGAATATTTGTCAGTACTAGTCTTGTATACAGGTTGTCTCTTAAAAATGGCAGTACAATTAACACATCAACAAGAAATGTAAAACAACTTTGAACATTCCAAATAATGTTTTGTTTTTAAATTTGAAACTTATATTGCTTATGAAATACTCTTGAAAACCTTTCTCCGTTATTATTATCTTTTAACACCAGTGAAGTAACGTTAAAAGAGTTCTGCTTTTGAAAAAAAAGAGTGAGAAAATCTTTGGATTTCTTATAACAGAATTTAACTATTTACAAAAATACCTGAATATACAATCTAAAGAATTATTTTATACACTGTATACAGTTATGTAAAACTCTCTATATAGATAATATTTGAATAATAAACACAGCAAAAGGGCCAACTACTTGACAAAACCAATCTAGCATCTGAAGGAGAAAAGAAACACTAGAAAACAGAAAATCCCCAACCCAGTCTGAAAAGGGCAAGTAATATAATATTATAAATCTGAAGTAAAAGCTACAATACGAAGGACTCCTAGAAGCTACGGTATAATCCTCACTGACAATAATAATTTCTCACATCGTACACGTTTTGTACTGCTACGCAACAATAAATGAGAAATAAATCAGCTGCTGTTGTCTTCACTGGGGACACCTCGGCTGCCTGATGAAATTTGACCGGAGAAATCAGGTCAATGCATGTCTATGGTGTCGTACTCAACGCGAGATGTAAACAGCTTTATTGTGTTGATATGCTTTGTTGTTATCTATTTCCGAGTTAGATTTCCAGTGAGTAATAATTCGGCGGGCGGTACACTGGTGTTTTGTATTTGTAAAATAGCGGCGTTCGGCTCAACAATTTTATCCAATTTGAGGCATAACACTGATATGTCGATGATGTTATCTTGTTTATTTTCGGTTTAGTGTTTGTCTTCTACCGTCAACCCCGCATGAAACGATTCTTTCACAGCATTGTCAATCCATCCATTGTTTTTCTGTCGATAAATAAGAATGAAGATCTGTTTATATATAGAAATTGCGTCTGAGAGATGATAGTTAGTCTAAAATGAAAACTGTTTACGCACAGGTTACGAGGTTGGACCACGGTCACGGGTCAACACGAGTTCCATGCACAACCAACAAGTTGTAGTTTCCTCGCTGTAAAAGTTTCAAAATCAGCAATAACACCCACCTGTTATACATATATGTAACCTTATGCTGATGTTCTAAATTGTATGCTCTGCAAAAGTGGTAGGGCGGTCATGGAAATCGCTAATAATTTGAGGAAATTTGTTGAAAGTATCGTGGAATTCTGCAACAAGTTTCAGATTATTGCAAACAAGATGTCTACCCTTTCTCATCCCATAATATGTAATTTGCGCATGCGTATATGAATAAAAATATATTCTCGGCTATTCTCGCACTTTGCGCGGTTTTACGACAAGACATATGTTGTCTATTTGCCTAACATAAATGAATAATCTTTCACTTTACAACAATCTATCTCTATTTTGAACATATAAGTAAAGTGTAGGAAGCCAACATATGACAAATTAACACATGTAATAGCAAGAATTTGATTTTTTTCTAGAAGGGGCGTGAAGGTCACATGATAGTCACGTGAAATTCGGGAAACGAAACTGTGGCGGCGTCCTAACAGTCAGCTGTTTACACGAGAAGCAAAATAAGGTCATCATAAAGGTTACTCTCTCGATGACTAACGTGTTGGTTGTAGGTGAGTGTGTGTGACTGTGCAGTTACTGCCTTCATAATGTAGAATATAGGTGGTGTATATTCAAAGTTTTATAGAGCTTGTCTTAAGTTTATTGAGCAAAACATTCCAGATTTGGTTTTGACGTTGACTGGCCAATCTTGCATCGAACCAGCAGTCTCGTCACACATGGAGTTAACTCCATGCTCCGCACTAAAAACCAAGGGCCACACCAAACTTGCATTGACGCACGTACGTTCCAGATAACTCGTACAATATAGAGACAGTGCGGTTAATATTTAACATACATTGCTGAACCTCGTTTAATGTTGTCGATATGTCATATTCATTTTATAATTGTATTGTGATTATTTTTGTATTCAAATCACATTTGATGTTTTTAAAAATGCATTTATAATTTACGCTGGACATTTTTAATATTCAGTATTTAGTTAAAAAAAAACTCGGTTATTAGAAAGGTAAATGTAATTTGGAAAACTCAAACAGGTTAAGGCAGAAAGCATTTATTTTCCCTGGTATTTACAGTAAACACACTCTGATTAACAGGATTTCTTTCCAAACCACTATTTATTTATTTATTAGAAATTTTCTTCTATGCTATCAATAAAGAGCCATTGCTCGAAACGTCTAGCTATTTTTAATAGTTATTTAGGACTACGATTACCAAATATTATCATCTATATATCATGGTTGTATTTTAGTGGATAGCGGCCATTTTGGCAATATTATAGGCAAAGATATTATGCCATATCTCAAATTGTAGGCTGGTGACATAGTGACATTGTTACTAATGGGATACTTTTTGTTTTCCTGAATTTTTGTCAAAAATCTGGTTTTTAAAAAGTGTCAAAAGAGGCAACTTTTGTTTAACATTGCGCTCTATGGAATTGTTCTAAAAATAGCTATTTTTGAAAAATACACACTTAAGAATGCTATTTTATGGTGGCATGGGTTAATAGCTCCAGGATTGTACATAATAAACCAATGGACATTGTCATGCGATTTATGACCAACTTTCTCAAAAATGGTGAGTAGGCTTCTACTATAAAAGATACAAGTTATTAAAACACAAAGCCAGCTGATAGTCAGCTTGGAAGTTAAGGTATGCCTAAACTGCACTATAGTACATTGAAGTCCTATTATTGGCTACACCCCCTA